CAAAAAATAGTCTCTACTGTCCTTAAACCTATAGCTGAGTGGATAGAGATAGGCTCTCAGGTGATGACAAGTGCTAGGAAGAAAACTAAAGCAGGTGGAAGGGATGGGTGAGTTGTGCTATTTTAGATAGGTTAGCCAGAGACTGTCTTTCTCAGATGGGTGCATTTGAGCAGGGACCCAAATCAAGTGATGGAGCAGGTTGTATGGGGATGTGGAGGAAGATCCATTCAAACCCAAAGGAATAGCCTTGGAAAGGTTGATTTGGAAGTGGGTCTAAGAACAGCAAGAGCCAATGTAGCTGGCACCAAGTGAGCCAGGGAAGAGTGGTGGGCAGTGGGGCCAGATGGTTGACTGGGGGCAAGACTAGGTAGGACCTTAGGACCTTATAGTGAAGGAGGTGGGGAGCCACTGAAGATTTTGAGCAGAACAGTGATACGATCTGACTTAGGTCTTAAAAGGATCACTCTAGCTGCCATGGTGTTGAATAAAGAGACGAGAGGAAAAGCAGGGAGACCAGATAGGAGCCTCTTGTGGAAGACCAGATCAGGGAGGTAGTGGTCTGGCTAGGGGAGTAGTGCTGGATATGAGGGGACAGAACCAGATTCTGGGTATATTTCATAGACAGAACCAATAGGATTTTCTGGTGGATTAGAAGTGGAACATGAGAAAAAGTAAGGAGTTAAGGATGACTCCAAGTTTTTGTGTGTTTGTTTCCTGAGCGACGGACAAAAATGGAATTGGCATTTACTGAGATGGGGAGAAGGAGATTTTGGAGGGAAATCAGAAGTCTGGTTTTGGACATGGTACATTTGAGATATGAGTAGACACCCAAATGGAGATGTCATGTAGGTAATTAATTGGTGACAAGAGTCTGGAGCTCAGGAGGCCAAATTATTTATAAAATTGGGCTCTGGTGGGAGTGGCACCTGAGGACTCAGTTCATTCCATAGGCCTCATCCTGTTCTAAATAAATGGTTACAAAGTCTTCACCAGCCCTGGAAAATCTACAAGCATCTGGGGCACGCTTTGAACCAGGGATTGCCCAGACCATGGATGGAATAGATCATGTCAGTCCCCCAGTCCAACTAGCAATTCACTATTTTTTAAAAGATTATTTATTTATTTATTTGACAGACAGAGATCACAAGTAGGCAGAGAGGCAGGCAGAGAGAGGAGGAAGCAGGCTCCCTGCTGAGCAGAGAGCCCCATGCGGGGCTTGGTCCCAGGACCCTGGGATCATGACCTGAGCCGAAGGCAGAGGCTTTAACCCACTGAGCCACCCAGGCACCCCAGCAATTCACTATTAATCAATGTTTAGCAAGTGCCTACTACATGCCAGGCACTGTGCCAAATGTTGGGTATTCAATGGAGAACAAGACTTGGTCTTTGGCCTCATAGAATGTTGATTCTGATAGGGTATTAGGACAAGAGAAAGGAGATCTCAGTAGAGTGCAATGGGGGAAAGTATAGGGTGCTATTGGACACAAAGGGGAGACAACTGTTTCTGTCTTGGAGGCTCGAGAAAGGGGTATCTAGGTTGATTCCTGAAGAATGAGTAGGGATAGGTAAAGAGGTGAGAGAGGAGGGCGGAGAGTGGTCTAGGCAGAGAAAAGAGTTTGTATCAAGTAAAGAAAAAGTCTGTTCAGGCAGAGGACCAAAGTTCTGTGTAGCATGTTTGGAGTGCAGAGTGAATGGGGCAGAAACATCGGGCAGGGCAGGTAGTGGCTGGAGAATTAATAAGGAGGCTCACCATGAAGGATCTGAATGAGAATTGCTGGGACTTTATTATAAAAGCTATGGGAAGCCTTTGAAGAGTTTCAAACAGAGGAAAGAGGCCACAGTAAAGAATGAAACGGGGTGGGGCGGGGGCGGCAGCCAGACTGGGAGCAGTTACACCAGGGGATTGGGGATAGTGACAATCTCAGACTCAAACTGCCCTAAAAATCACCTATAAACGTGTCCATATAGTAAGAGGCAGAGCCTGGGTCTGCTTTGCTTAACCTCAGCTAATGGGAGATGCTTTCCAAGAAGCTAATGAGTTAATGGGAAAGAGGTACAAGATGCCTGCATTGTAATAGGAGGCTAGAGTATGGGAGGAAGCAAGGGGAAGGGCAGTTCTAGGATGGAACAGCCTCCAGAAAGGGCAAGCTCTAGTCATAGGGGAGCCAAGACAGCAAACCAACAAGTCAGTCTTTCTACAATTTGCTTTGTGTAATGTGTGTGCTATTCAGGGTGTCATTAGGACAAAAGGCCTGGATTCTTTGTGAGGGTGCTTAGTGCTGGGTGTGTGTTTGGTAATGGCTGTTTGTGATGGGAAATTCTCTCCGAGTCTGTGTTAATGCGAGAAACTCTGGAATGCATACTGTGCAAGTATGTACCTGTAGTGGCAAGGAGTATGCGTGCAGTTTACGCTGTGAGAGGGCTCATGCCTTCTGCTGGCCTGGGTTCACAAGCTTGTCTCAAACAGCATAAGCAGCGGGTTCCGTTCAAACTTAAAGATTCTTTTGGTTCACTTTGCACACAGCAGGAACTCACATATTTGTCAAATAAATGATTGTTTCCGTTTTATTAAAGCTCAGTCATCTGGGGAAATATAGAGGTTTGGTTACAAGTCTGAACTAGATGTTTTAAGAAAAATAAACAGCCCAGCACCAACATCTCTTTACAAAATCTAGCAGTTTAAGCACTGTCATGGAGTTTATATGCTAGCTGGAGTCCTACCTAGCGTAAAAAGCTTTCACTATTTCATATTATTCAATAAACATTCACCGAACACCTCAGCCACGTAGGCAGTATTGGGCTGTTGCTGCTGAACTCACTTCCCTTTCATCTGAACCACCTTAGTCTGGGTCCTGCAATTAAAGCTTAATTATGTGCTATCTTGTATTGTTCCTTAATTGTTTCATGTGCCTGAATCCACTTTCAACCAGGCTATATGTTCCTTGAGGGCAGGGACTATATTACAAACGTCAGGGTGGGCGAGGAACTTAGCAGAGAGGTGAATATACAGTGAGCGAACACCCACTGTTGGAGGGAAAAGGGAAAAAAGAACATTAAGCTATTTATAAACCACAGTAATACGTAATATATAATATACCTTAAGAATAAGGGAGTATACATTCTTGTTAATTAACTAAACTACTCTTTTAATAATTAAATGTAAAATTCGAATCTGCATTTTCATGTTAAGGAAAGGTTTTCAGAACCTTAATGGAATTGCTGTGATCCCCACGGTGGCTTCATTCTTGTTCTTTTAAATGCAAAACAAGAATGTCTCCTTGAGGATGAGAGTTGAAAGGTAGAATCAGTCTTTGGCGAACTGTTTGAGAGCAGAACTCTCCTACAGCAGGATTTCTCAACAGTGGCACTCCTGACATCTTAGACCAGGTAATTCTTTGTTGTGTGGGGACTCTCCTGTGTTCAGGGTACTTAGCAGCACAGTTGGCTTGTACCTATCAAGTAGCACTCCTCCCCTCCTCTGGGCCTGCCCCCTCATCCCCCAGCCCAATTGTATCCAGACCTTGCTAATGTGTCCTGGGGATAGAATCGCCCCCAGTTGGAAATGTATGTCCTATAAGAATTTGATCCTACTTAGATATTTTTTTCTATGTAGTTGGTGGGAGAAAGGGGAAAGGAAACAATATTAAGTGCTTATTTGGTATGAGCTAGGCACTATACCTATGCTTTCTATTTCAACTTATGCATAAAGAAGCTGAGATTCAGAGAGATAAAAATCTGCTATCATAAAGATAAGGCAGTAAAATCAGGACTGCAAACCAGGCTTGTCTGACTGCAAAGTTTAGTCCTTTCCAGCACACACCCCATTGCCTCTCTGCAAGAAAAACGGCATACCTCAAGTTGAAGAAGTGCAACAAGTATGTTCAAAACTATTTAAAACTTTTTGGGGGAGGGGAATTATTTCTTCTATTCTTTACATTTACTTGAATATAAATGTATATTACCCGTACCTATAGACTCTGGGGCCCCTCACTACCGTGGTAACGCTGTGGTCTTATCTCTGAAAAACATAGAGCAACACAATGGAACAGCTTCAATTCTCCTCGTTACAAATTATACAAAAGCCAGAGCCTAACGGTGCCAAAAGCAACTGGTATCGTTTACATAAGGGTTGAAAGCTAATAGTTAACTTTTTTCATTTAATTCCAGAAAGAGTAAATAACACCTCACTTTACAACTACGAAGGGGTAAAAATCGAATAAAATGCCATAAAATGGAGAGGAAACCATTAACCCAAAAAGAAAATGGAAAGGTTGGCTCCAGCGCTCCCTCCCTCTCGCGCTTTCGCTTGCGCTGGGAGCGGGTGCCGGCTGCACGGCCTGGGTCTCTATCGCCCTCGCCAAACTCCCGTCCTTGGCGCCCAGAGCTCTCTGATTTCCTTTCCCGCCCTGGGGCCGAGCTCGGCCTCTCTCGGAGAAGCCCATCCCAGAGCCAGGCCTGGAAAAACAACAGCAAAAAACAAAACAAAACAAAACAAAACAAAACAACAACAAAAAAACTTTGGCTCGGTTTGCGGTTCACTGAAAAAAGGCAAACATTCAAGTTTGGTTTGGGGCTGTAGCCGCCAGTTCCGATTTTGGGGTGGGGGTGGGGGTGGGGGGGTGTCACAAGTCGGTCAGGTTCAAGTGCGCATGTGCATAAGGAGTCGCTCGGGCACTTATTGAGCGCCCACTGTCTACCGGCGGCCGCGGGTGTGTATCCCCGGCGCGCGGTGGGTGTGTGGGGAGGCCGCGGGCGCGCGTGGCGGGCGGGGGCGCGCAGGCCGCGGGCGCGCGCGGCGCCTGTGGCTGGGGAAGGGGGCGGGAGGGGGTGTGTGTGTCCCCGAGGCTCGCTCGTTCGCTAGCTGGCTGGCGCGCTCCTCCGCTCCCTTCCCGGGCGGGGAATCCGGGCCGGGTTGTGGCCGCGGCCGCGTACGTGAGCGCAGAGTCCCCGAGAGGGAGGGCAGGCCGGCCAGGTGGGCGCGAACGGAGCCTCGGCGGGCGGGCGGCTGGAGCGGAGCGGGGCTGTGGGCCGCGCCGGGTGGGCGGGCGGGGGCTGCGGCAGCTGCAGCCCCGAGCCGAGCCGAGCTGTCCGAGCGGGAGCTGCCCGGCCCGCGCTGCTGCTCGTGGCGGGGCGAGGTGAGCTGCGCGGGGACCTCGCGGCGCTGCAGCCCGGGGACGGGGGCGGCCCGGGAACTTCCCACGCTCTGCACGCCCGCGGGGGCCGGGCCGGCGGCCTGAGGGCACCGGAGGCGGGCGCCGGCGGGTTAGCGGCCGGTCGGGACGCGGGGGCGCTGCGGCAGTGCAAGTGCCCGCGCCGGCTGGGTGGGGGGTGGCCGCCCGCCCTCCCGTGCGCCGCCTTGTTTTTCTCGCCCGCCGCTGGCGCTCGCAGAGGAACCCCCTCCCCAACTTCGAGCGCTTGTCCGGAGTCGCCTCTCCGACGGAGACGGACCTGCCCCCTCCCTGACCCTTTCCGGCTGGGCCGCCAGCCCAGCCCTCCCGACGCCCCGCGCGTTCCTGCCCACTCCACGGAGCGAGCGAGCGCTGGGCTCCGGACGCGCGGCGCGACACACCCTCCAGCTCGGGGGTTGCCCCCCACCCTTTCTGTCCCCTTTTGTCCACCCCCACTTCCTTCCAGGCGGTTTAACCTTGCCTTTCCTCACCGGTGGCCCCTGGCGCCCCTTGGAAGGGGCACTGTGGGCATGTGGGGTGCTCGGGTGGGGGCCTGGCCCGGGAGTTTGTCATATGCAAACAATTCCAAAGACAGAATTGTCTTCCCTGTCTGGCAGTTCAGGGCTCAGCGCCTTCACTTTAGCATTGACTCAGAAATCTAAAGAAGCCCACCTGCCAGCCGGTGGGGTGGCACTGCCTCCTTGAGTTCCGGCAGTCCTGGGCAGTCCTGCCTGGGCAGTCCTCGGTGGCTTTGGAACGTTTCCCTCAGGCAGGCGTTTCCTTGATGTCAGGCCGCCACTATCTTCTTTACACTCCTCTTTCTACAAAAGTGTCCCTGCTGCAGTTTGCCTGAAAGTGAGTGATCAACAGGTATTGAAGGCTTTTTTGACACCCTCCTGAGGTGTTGTGTAAACAGAGGTTCTGGGTCTCAAGGAACTTGAAACCAGGGAAACAGCAATTAAGTTCAACTCCACAGGTACTTTTGAGGGGCTGCTGTGTTCTCAGCACCGTTCCAGGCTCTCAGGGAGAGATGGTAAGAGGCACACAAGAAATCTAAGGCCTCAGAAATCCTTCTGACCAGGTGGAAGTGATTTCAGAACTAAAGTTCAAATTGATGGGCTATGGCTGCCTAAATTACTCTAAATGCTGTGGGGAGGAGGAGTATCAAAGGACAGTTAGAGTTGGGGGACTGGATTAAGGGTACTGAGTTATGAAATAAGTTGGGCAGTTGGAGGATAACTTACTGGCCAAGGCCCAAAGGCAGGAGAGGGAGAGGTAACAGGTGCCAGAAGAGAGTAGGTTCAAACAGTTTATCTCGGTGAGGGAGGATACAAAAGATAGATGAGATGATTCCTTCCAGAGTTTATAATCTTGAGGAGGAGACAGAAACCCTTGAGCACGTGAAATAAGACCTTAAGATAAGGCACAATTAGCTGTCAAAATGTGAAGTGTGGAAGAGATGCTGTTGGAGCTCAGAGAAGAGGGCTATGGGCAGGAATCCCTAGCACTGTGTTCCTGGAGGACGAGACCCTTGAGGTGGGTCATGAGGTGCGATTGAACATGGCTTTCCTGAGAGGAGATGGGCTTGGCCAGGCAAGGGAACGTTTCCTGAGCAGGAGATAAAGATGGAGAGAAACAATGGTTAAGATTGTGAAAGTCCTAGAAAGTCAGACTGGGGAATTGCACTTTACCCTGTGTGTACTGGGGAGACATGAAAGGTTTTTGAGCCAGAGAGTGACGTAATGAAAGGGTGTTTGGAAAGGTTTTTAAACTAATGTTCAGAGACGAATCAGTAGACTGTTACAGTTGTGGAGTGCTCAGAGTTTGGACCGGGATAACTGGAGATGGAAAAGAGGGTGGATTTTAGAAAAGCATTACTGCTGAAATAATCTGTTGATAGGGGCAGGGTGAAGGAAGGAGATGAATGGAAATTAATTCTTTGTGGAAATTGATTACACGCCAGGGCCTTGGAACTGCTGTCGTGTAACTGGAGAAATCGGAAATGTGTGTTTTGGAGAGAAGCAATTGACAGGCTGCAGAGGTTTCTCGTATTTGCCAAGACGTCCAAACACAGGTGTCCTGCAAGCAACCAAAGCTCTGAGATTGGTGGGAAACCACGCTGCCAAAGCTGGGAGAGGGAAGGCACTCTGAGTGGGATGTTGTCTTGGTCAGAGGTCATAGGTCCTACTAGTGGAGGATGCTCGTGAGTGAATTGGAAGATTCTGTTCTGTATTGCCATTCAGATGACATTGCCAGGTCCTGAACCTGAAGCTGGCAGAGCAACTTGGGATTGGAGATGGGAGGGAAGAATGGAATTTGCTAAACACAGAAATTGTTGGGCTTTGAAACAAGTTGAATAATGCTCTCTGCCGAGACCTTCAGGCTAGTCCTGGTGTCCCTTCGTAGGTGTGTGCAGGGGGAAGCCATAAGATGGGGGAGCAGCAAGGTGACCAGCAAGGAGCAAGGAGGGAATCTGGGGCCTAGGGAGACTGCCTCTCCCAGGGCCAGGTCTGTCCTAACCTGTGCCATTGCTGGTTCCCAGGAACCTGCAGTGAGGAGCTGGCACCGTTTTTTTCTTGAGCTCTGAATTCCTCTTTCTGGTTGCAAGGGTGGCTTAGGGTGATTTGACGAGCAAATTCCCCAAGCCTCAACTTGCAACATCTGAGGGCTGGCGAATTTGGAGGATGATTGCAAAAAGTTGCAGAATGGAGCGGAGAATGTACTTTAGAGTTCCTGAGCCTCCTTGTTTTTCTGACATGCAGGATCAGTGAGCTAGCAGGGGAAGCTGCCTTGTCTGGGCAGAGGCGTCCATCAGATATTTTTCTTTATTGGGAATATATGACTGTCAAAAAGGATTTCATGGAGCAGTGGTTGAGCTAATTTACTCTTTAAAAAGTAGTGGGTTTTTTTTTTTCACTGTTTTATCTGTGACCTACATTAAGAAATAAAATTTACATCATGACCTAGGCACAGTAAATCATGTATGTAAAAATCTAATTTAAGTTCCTGAAGTACTCCTTTCTTTTGCCTGGTGCGATCTCCTTTGGTACTTTTATTTTCCATTCTTTGCTTTAAAGATTTTTATTTATTTATTTGACAGGCAGAGATCACAAGTAGGCAGAGAGGCAGGCAGAGAGAGAGGGAGAAGCAGGCTCCCTGCTGAGCAGAGAGCCTGTTGTAGGGCTCCATCCCAGGACCCTGGGATCATGACCCGAGGCTTTAACCCACTGGGCCACCCAGGCGCCCCCATTCTTTTCTTTTTCATTGAAAAATGTTTGCTGTCTCCCACTCAGTTGACTTAGCCACTCTGTCATGGATGTAACCCAGTTTAGAAAACACAGTTATAGAGAATTTTCACATCTAGTAAGTGTTTATTAAGCTGCTCGTGTGCAGGGCTCCTGCTAGTAGTGCGAGTGGAGGGAAGCATGAGGAAGAGATTGAACATTTACAGGCTAGTTGGAGAGAGAAGGTATACCTATGATTAAGGAACAAGGCAAGATGATTAAATGCCAAAGTGAAAAATAAGCCCCTGGAGGGTTCATAGGAGGGGGCAAGCAGCTTGGGCTGGAGTGGCTTGGTAACACTTTTGGGGATTGGGAAGGAAGTCTAGGATGAACTCTTGGTGTGTCACATGATGCCGCACAGTTGGGGGGCTCTGTAACATGGACAAAGGCTTGGAGTTAGGATGTGCACAGTGTGTGTAAGAGTGAGTAAAAGAGGTTTCTTATTAGAGGGTGGGGAGATGCCGGTCTGGAAAGGTGGGTTAGGATCAACGTGTAGGGGTTATAAACCAGTGACCCAGAGAATGTGTTCCGCCTACAGAAGGGTTATAATTTGGAGTACACAAAGGTTTTAAAAAATTGGGAACGATCCAGAAAACCTCTGGATTGGGGACTCTCGTAAAGAATCAGAACAGGCAGTGAGTAGTGGTGGCCTCCAATGGACAGGAGACAGGCCTGGTAGTTCCCCGTTATCATATTCTCAGCACCCCCTTCTGCTCGAGTGTGGTCTCTTTACATTCCCTATTTAGTCTGTAGGCCTTTGGGTTTGTGACCGGATGTTTCAAGAAACTTAAATGCCAACCTAGGGAATTTGGGATGGCTGTCCTGGCTCTGGGTGGCCACTGGGGGATTTGGGTAGGAGTGTGACATGATGGAATCTGAGATATTTGTGTGCGAGTGATTTGTTTTAGGCAAATCAACAGCACTTGCCGAGTTGCTGCTGGCTAGGACTTTGAAATATTTTTCTGATGATTGGAATGGTACTGATTAGGGCTTTGGGCTATATTGTGTATTGCGAGGCCAATTTCTAGTGACCCCAAGATCTCTCAAGCCCTCCACTTTTCTGCTTCTGGCTGGCATGGGTAGATGGTGGCTCCTGGCACGTATCTTCCGAGAATGATGTTGGGGTAATAATTTGGTGAGATGTGAGTCACCACTGTCAAATGCCATATGACATTAGATTCTCAGGATCTTTGGTTATATGAGTCAGTAATAAAGGAACAGTAAAGAGAGGGGCTGTGTCGTTTCTTATTCCCCTATTCCTAGGATACCTCTGGGGGCAGGCCTCTGTGGTCCAGAGATTCATAATCCAGGATTCAAAATGACCACGGAATTATTGTTTCAAACCCAGATGTTAGTGCAGATGACCCCTGGAAAACTAGGCTTTTTGGAGACCAGCTGAAGTTGAGTAAATTCAGGTCTCTCTGGTCTGGGGACAGTTGGTGCACCCTGGAAGTCCATAACCACCAGTGATTCTGAGCATTTCCCCAGGTGAGAGGGACAGAGCAGTGTTCGCCCTGCTTTATGCAGCTTGCACAATCTGATTACTTAAAATGTCGCTGTTGTGACATTAACAGAAGCCAAAGGTGACGTGCTCTTTGCTTAAAAATGTGTGGCTGTCTGATGTCAGGGTAACCAGAAGTCAGCCTAATGGTAGCAAATTGAACCCGTTTCTTGTTTTACACG